CTCTCTCTCTCTCTCTCTCTCTCACACACACACACACACACACACTTATTACACTATTCAGGCATATGTGGCACAACTCTTCCTACCATGCTTCTCCTTGGTATCTGGTAAGACTTAGGACAAACTAGATCCATCATAGGATTAACTATCCTTACATACTTGCAGAGAAGAAAACTGGATTGCTTATTCATTCTTCAAACATTCAGAGTTCCCAAAGGATCATGGGAATTCCTACATGAAGCCCCCGCTCCTGCTTGCCTACAAACATATCCTCTTGGCTTCACAGCAAGGAACAATGCACTACAGTTGGAAACTGGCAACATTCTAACTCTTAAGGAGGGTTTCTGATTCGTCTCACTTTCACTGCAGAGAAACTAACTTTTATTCTGTCCTCACAAAGGAGCAACAAGGAGTGTCTTGTGTCAGTTATTTGTCTGTGTACAAGTGCCTATCCTTGAAAGGGAACTGCCTGTACTGGGCCTGAAGATAGTGCAACAGTAATTTATAGAATCACTTTCTCCTATGATGTCTGATGAAGTGACCTATGCAACGCTTATGCTTCAGGATTCTGCGAGAGTGAGAAGTAATTGGGATGGAAATAACCTAAGAAAAGGAGGTAAGAGCTCAGATAAAGTAAAGCACTTTATAGCCTTGGGTATGACAGGTGTTAAGTGCCTCGAGATGTGGGCTTTGACACTGAAGAGGAGGGAGAGGGTGCAATATAATCCAAAAAGAGAGAGACAAACAGTCCTGGAAGGGGTCAGCAGAGTGAGTGTCCTTATGAGAATATATGGGGCTTTCAAGACCAGTGTGAACTGTATATGGAATCAACGTTATGAAGCTCTTCACTGTAGGAAAAAAATTAATGGATATGTCAGAGACTGGGTCTGGGAGTGAGAAATCCCTATTTATAACCATCCTTGACTCCTATACCTTGTCAGAAATGCCAGAGAGATGTTCTTCTAGAAGCCAAAGAGGATTCTTAAATACATAAAGGAAGCTTTGCTAGTGTGTGGGTATAATTTACGGAAGGAGTCGAGTACAGATAAATCTCAAGAGAGCTAGCTTTTCCTCTAATGGTGTTTTTAATTTAAGGTCATTGGAACCCCAGGTATAACTTGGAGCATTTTTCAATAATAAATTCTATATACGTAGCTTTATTGAAGTGTAGTTGTAAAGCAAATAATATTACGACTTTTGCAGTTATGTAGATGGAAACGCTGAGTCTCAAAGAAGCTAGGTAGTTCTAGAAGTGTGGAGAGTCTTCCAGGGTCGGCTCATTCCCTTAGGCTCAGCTGACAGAAATGTCAAGTCTCTGGAGTTGGACAAAACTATCTTCTTCCCTTGCAAAATCCTAGAGCCATATGAATTGCTATGAATTGCTTTGGTCCTCTACAGCAAGGAAAGAAAACAGGAGTGTGTATGTGTATGTATGTATGTGTGTGTGTGTGTGTGTGTGTGTGTGTGTGTGTGTGTCAGAGAGAGGATATATAGTAACCAGCATAGGATTTGTGGTCTTTACTAAAGGTGAGATGATTATGCATCTCTGTTTTGTTCTGTCTTGTAATTCTCACTCTAATTTTTGAGGAAAGGGGTCATGTGACTATCCTGCATGTGCTACTGTACTCACCTAGCAGAAAGATTGTGTGAATCAAGGAAGAGGAAGGTGACAGATATTTTCATGACAAACATGGTCCAAGAGTTGCCTGCTGGTTCTCTGAGCTATTTGCAGGTTAGACTATACATTTTCATCCAGGATTAATTTACTATTTATAACAAGATACATTATTTAAAAGTATAATCCACATTTATAAGAAAAGTAGAACCATCTCCTTTTGGAGATTAGTGCCTTAAATTCAGTGTCTATGTTATCGTCAGATCATTCATGAATACTCATCTCCACACGTCATTCGCAAAATCAGTGGACTTGAGGAAGAAAGATGGGGGCTAATTTTAAAAATAAAAAAAAACAAATTAAGAGAAACTCATTCTTAAAAAGAAGGTGGGGGAAATGGAGAGCTGGGGGAGGGGCCATCCCATGCTTCATATTAGCAATTTTCTAAACAGTGTTAGAAAGCAAGGGAAATTTGTAATATGGAGATACTTCGTGGGTGGGAGAAACAACCCCAAGTGTAACTGCATGCTGTGCTTCTGTTTGCTCCTCTTCTTTTGGCTTCCAGAACACGTAGCTCAATCCTCCATTTGGCGAGGTGCTGCCTTGAGCCTGATGACCCTCTGCCTGTTGCTGGTGGCAGGACTGGTGACCTTGGGGATTATATGTAAGTGAACTTGTATTAAACAAAAGAAAAGTAGTTACAAAAAAACCTTGTACAGTATTCAAATTCAGGGAGGATCTGATATTAGCATGCAGAATCTTCAAATCACTGCGGCTACCCCGGATCCACTCCATCTCCACCACACCTTCAAAAGGCACTAACAAGGGGCTACTTCTCTGCTGGGGTGGGGGGAATTCTACCCCCCACCCCAGTAAGTTTTGTCTTTTGCTGAACTAGATCACACTGTGAGGAAGACTCTTCTTTTCTTAGTTATCAATTCAAATTGAGAAGCTCTTTTCTGAACAGACATATCCATTTGTTATTCCCAGTTAAAAACAGGAAAGCAAGCTAGAGATGTATTTGCAGAAGGACATGAGCTTCATTTACCTTGAAATTTAGCAGAAGGCTCGCTAAATCTACTCACCCATGGCCTTCCTGGGGGAGAGAAAACACTAAAGTGGCAGCAAAAACCTTCCTTTCCTGAATGAGGAAAAACACATAGAGAAGGAAGAGAAGGAGTATGAATTACATCACACCGGGTAGAAAGAAACGAACCACCCATGTGTCTTACAGTGGAAGCCACTCCCTAGCAGACCCTAAGAGAAGATTCCCTTGATTCATGTGGACTGGGTAGGGCACTGTGTATATAGTAAATGGAAAGACATCCTGAGAGTATATGCGTGATATATAAACTGTTATGTGGAATAAAGGATACTGTTTTGGCCAGCACCTGTTCCCAGGTGATTCATAGTCAAAAATGTTTATTGGAAGATGCTGTATGATTTACTCTTTCTTGTTTATGAGACAGAAAATAAACAAATCTTAAACATAGTTCCTCATGGTGGGAAGTCATGCACACTAGCATGTACAGTAGTTGATCACACTACTTTGACAGTCAGAGAGCAGAGGGAGATGAATGCTGTGTTTAGCTTGCTTCCTCCTTTTACTCAATCTAGGTCCTCAGCCCAGGAAATGGTGCTGGTGAACTCAAGTGAGGAGATGATTCTGTAAGCCTGTCACATTGACAATAAAGACTAATCATCATAGACAGTAATGTCTCCCATGCGCTATTCACTCATTTTCTTATATGTAAGATTTCATTGGTAGTTATGATTTGGACATATGAACACAGACTAAGTATTTACCTTCTTCTTTGGAAATAAAATCTGATACTCCTGTTGAGGTAACAGATACTCAGTAGATGCTGTTAGGAGAATATGTAGCTTACCTTTTAAAAGATGCATACTCCTAAGCAAATTAAAAGACAACAGTGTTGCTGCATCATGAAAATGCATTGTGATTTTTTTGTAAAGTGCAATGCTTTTGCTGCTGTGGTTGTTACATGCAGTATGCTAACGAATCACTGGAAGAGCTTAATAAAAATAAGATGTTTTTAAATAGATACATGGATCCAAAACTGGAAATGGTTAGAATGGTCCAAGACCAATCTGGGATTATTAGAAAAACCCCTGTCAAGTATGAAAAAAGGAAGAGAGAGATGGGGGGGTGAGCGAGTGGACCTGGAAGGAAGAGGGAGGGGAAAAGAGAGAGAAGAAGTAAGAGGGAGGAAAAGAAAAAAGGAAAGGAGAGAAAGGAAAGAAAGGGGAGGGGAAAGAGAAAAGAAAGAAGGGAGAGAAAGAAAAGGAGAGGAGGAAAAAGAGGAGGGAGAAAGAAAAGGAAAGGAGAGAAAAAGAACCCCAGTGGCCTGGGGATCACTCTTGAGTCAGCCTGGCAGCCTTGTGACAGGGGCAGGAGCATGCACTGTCTCACTATGTCTTGAAGTTTTGCAGATGTCAAATGATATTACCTCAGATTCAGAGAAGTTGAATCAACTTCAGAAAATCATCCACCCACAGCAGGACAATCTGTCTGAGCCACTGAACATCTCCAGGAATGGTCCCTCAGAGGAATACCTCCAGTCCCAGATCTCTGCCCTCCTGGAGAGACAGGAGCAGATGGCTACCAAGCTCTGCAAGGAATTCCTCATTCACACTTCTGGTAATTTGACTTACATCTTCAGAAAGGCCACATCAAGCCTGTCACCCTGATAAAAGTCCCCACGTGCAATGCAGTACCTAGAAGTTGTGTTCTTTAGCAATCCCTTGACCATACCATTCTAAACGTATGAAGGACAAGTAAATACGGATGTTTCTTTAATACTTCAGAAAGTCCATAATTTTGGAATCATTTCCAAATGCTATCAGCCCGGATACTTCTCACTTTATCAGTCACTTTTAGATGCTCTGGTTATCATAAGAATATTAGAAGGCTGGGCCTGCAAAGAGAATCTCCATTGTCCAACCCCCAGCCAGGGTTACTCTGCTTCCAGAGGGTCCTGCCATAGTATGTCTCAGGGCCGCTTGCACTCAGATCTGTTGCCTGTGTGTAAGCCTTGGTTTCAAAGGCTTCTGCAGTCACGCCACAGAATGTGTACTTTTGAGTATAATTTCCTTTTCAGACCATAAGTGCAACCCCTGTCCCAAAAGCTGGCAATGGCATGGAAACAGCTGCTATTATTTCACAATCCACGAAGAGAAAACCTGGAGTGACAGCAGAAAGGACTGCACAGACAAGAATGCCACTCTGGTGAAGATTGACAGCTTCAGAGAAAGGGTATGATTGAGTCTCTTCCCCCAGCTATAGAAATTACCCACACGGTGGAAAATAAATACGTGATGCTTCTTTTTCGTGATAGGAAATTGTCTCCTCAAACCAGCAGATGACCTCTCACGTGTTCTGCTTTCTCCCTCCCCCAGAATTTCCTTCAGTCACAACCATCACTCCCACTCTCTTTCTTTTGGCTGGGATTGTCCTGGAACTCAACTGGCAGGCACTGGGTGTGGGAAGATGGTTCAACTCCCTCTCCAACCTTGTAAGTATCAAATTGTTTGGGGCTGGAAGATCAAGATTTCCACAGAACTCTGAGAAAACTGATGTAAAATGAAAGAATTATAAGCCTAGATATGACAAAAAGAAGTACACTGTTTAAAGAGAGAGAGAGTTTCAGCAGGGAATACAATGAGGGCCGGTAAGTAATTCCATCTGTTTGTCAAACTGACAGCAATGCACTGTGTAGCTGCTTTCTTTATTAAGCATGTGTGGATGATCGTATGCTCAAAGCACTTTGCAAACATAAACCCTTGAAAGATGCACTTTCATGTCTCCACTACACAATAAAAATGTTACCAGGGAGATTCGGTGACCTGCCTAAGATTGCCCAGCTCAAACAGGATCAAGTCAAGATGGAACACTTTAGATCACCTATTCATCCACTCAGCTATTTTGTGTCCCATCCTTTATGACCTTCAAGGGCGGTGTTTGTCATAAAGACACACAGTTAAACGATGACGGATTACTCGTCTCGGGGTATTGTTGCCATTTTCTCACAGTAAGTAGGTCTGAACTACCTGATTAGCTTCTGGATTAGCTTCAGGATGCAGACCACCAGTTAGGTTTCGTGGCAAGTGTCCTGACAAAATGTACTGCTGCAGAGTCTCAATGACAGTGTTGAAAGTACACATCAAATCTCTACAACTGGGGGGATTGAAGCTTTGCAACTATTTAAAGTTAAGACAGGGTAGATGTCAGCATAAAAATGTTTCAAAGTCTTGCCCAATCTGACCTTCTGTACTTTTCAAAAAACTCCTAAGAAAGAGTCCCAGACTCCATGGGAGCCAGAAACCCGGGGGCCATGTGGAGTCAGGCTGGGCTTACAGGGGAAGCCAGTGGGTTTATGGTGCAAGTTGGGAGATGAAAACTAGTGTTTGTTTCAACTACAAGATGGTACCATGGGATAAATCCCTACTTTCTCAAGAATAAGTTTTGTTTTAACTTTAATGTTTAAAACTTATTTTCATATTTATTGATTTTGGGAGGTCAGGGTTGTATGGTTCCAGGGCACACAAGAAGAAATCAGAGGACAACCTGCAGGGATAAGTTCTCTACTTCCAGTATTTTCATTGAGGGAATTGAATTCAAATCATGAGGCTTGGTAGCAAGTACTCTTACCCACTGAATCATCTCAAAAACATTATTTAAGGCAAGGACAGGAAAGATCACTCAGTGGTTAAGAGTATCACCCACAAATGACCAACATCCTCCTGTAACTCCAAATCCAGGAGATTTGGCCCTCTCTTACAGCCTCTGTGGACACTTACACACATGTATGCATAGATACAGAGGCATACACAAATAAAAATAAAATAAATCTTTTATAAGAATAAAAGCTTAAAGGGACACATGTCTTCAAAATTTTTTGGAAGACTTTAAAACAAAGGCAAAAATGGCAAATGTCATACATCAAAACTTAATTAAATGAGATAATTGTATTTATATTTTAATGTAATTTTTACATTAAGTACAATTTGGTATCACTAATGTATCTCCTACCTCCAAGTACTCAACTATCTAACCCATTCTGTTTTACTCTTTCATGTATGTTGTCAACTTTTTTTTTTTTTTTTTTGGTTTTTTCGAGACAGGGTTTCTCTGTGTAGCTTTGGAGCCTATCCTAGCACTTGCTCTGGAGACCAGGCTGGCCTCGAACTCACAGAGATCCACCTGCCTCTGCCTCCCGAGTGCTGGGATTAAAGGCATGTGCCACCAACGCCCGGCTGTTGTCAGCATTTTGTACATTGAATTATAGTCATTTCATTTTTGCTCAAATCTGCTTGGAGTCAGCTGTGGCTCACCAAAGCCTTGAAGAACAGATAATTATATGCCAGTTCTTTTCTCCCTAAAGTCCCTCTCTAGGACTTTTCCTATTCAAACATATGTCTCCCAGGTTCTTATCACCAATGCTAGCCTCATTTGGTTAGTCTATTTTCACACTAGTAACAACAACAAAAGGCTCACCCAAAACAACACAAAGTAAAAGACCAGATACTGTTTTTCACAGCAGAGTAATTGGGTGGGCAGTGCTCACAGTTGACCCAGGAGAGGAGGGTTGCTAGACAGAGACCATCCAGGAGTGGAACCCAGCACCATGTAAATGCAGGGCAGTTCCCAAGTTAGAATGTACGTTTCTCCTCTCCTATATGAATGCTAGATATTCTTGATTCATTTACTGGCTCCTGTGAACACACAGAGGAAATGGCCTATGTTTTGTATTCAGAGTCCGTAGACGATAACTGTAGGTCGTGCCCCTATCAGATAGCCCAGCTCTTTATCCCCAGTCTAGCAAGACTGTACTTCAGGCTTATGAAGCTTCTTCCTTGAATCCTGAGAAAGGACTATCTGACTGAGATATATTAAAACAGTAATATTTAATAGGCTTAGCTCCTATAAATAAAATAACATGGCATCCCAGTGTGCATCACTTGGAGAAAGCAGTGCTTGTAGCACACATTTAGGCTGAGCATGCATGATTTTTAAACACAACATTTAAGTAAGTGTTGTCATTAAAGTTGAACCAAGAAGCTGGGCACGATTTCTTGATAACCCAATCCCATCAGTAAGTCATCCATTTCCTTGCTCTATCTTGTCTTCTAAAGAATGTATGAAAGCATGCACAGTTATGTTTTTGCATCGCAAAAGGTAAGAACTTTTTACACGGTTATTACTTTATTTTTTCTAGTTTTCATACTAAAATTTGAAATGTAAAAAAAAATATATCAGTTCTAATGTAATCTGCACTGGGAGAATTCCATTGGAGGAATTCCATATTGCTGGTAGGAATAATAATTTCCAAACCATAGTTTAAATATCCCTTTCTATTGAATTTCAATACAATATATTCCGTTCATGGTCTCCCCACCCTCATCTCCTCCCAGATCCTCTCCACCTCCCCACTCATCCAACTCTACTCCTTCTTTCTCTCTCTCTGTAGGAAGCAACAGGCCAATAAAAATGTGAGCATTGGATTCTTCTCATGGAGTAGGCCTTAAATTCAATCAGACAGTGATTGCTTACAACTTCATGCCACTATTGCACTAATATTTCATGCAGGGTCAAATATATTCTTCTTAAAGAAATATTTCTCCTGGGATCATGACTAACCTGAAATAAAGAACTTAGGCATGCTAGCATTACAGATGTTAATGCTTTGTCGGGGGTGGGGTTCTCATAATAGTATGGATTTTCCCTCTCAGGGTGACTGAGAACACCCCATTCTAATTAAATTTCATATGTAGTAGTTTTAATTAGTTTAAATTGATTCCTTTCCAGATTTAGCTATCAGGAGCAGGCCAGGTTCAACGGATCCAGAGGGTGCGCTTATTTTGAAAGAGGGAATGTTTACATTTCTCGCTGTAGTGCTGAAATTTCTTGGATTTGTGAGAAGACAGCTTCCCTGGTGAAGATTGAAGATTTGGTTTGATCTGACTCATCAAGAGGAAGGGCCTGTTGCCAACCCATGTGAGAAAGGAGGAAGCTATGGTATTTGAGTCAAAAACCGACTAGAAAGTGGCTGTATTTCAACTATCCCATAGACGAACTTGCCTCACAGAGCATTCTCCACTTGACCGTCTGAGCCTCTGACCTGCTGTTCTCATGACTCAGGTCTAAAAATGATCCCGAGTACCCAGGGAGGGGCATGTCATTTCAGTTTGTCTCTCAATAAACATGGCAATACTTATGTTTTAACCACCAGACCAACATGGGCCACTGTAAGGGAGCAAGTTCCAGGAGAGCCCTGTTGTAAAGACTACCCAATCATGTAGCGCTTTCAGGGAGTCCAAAGTGAATGAGCTGGGACAGCGGGGCTGTATGGCTGAACTGCAAACGCTTCGCTTTTTAGAGACTGTCTGTCTGAACCCATTGAACAGGCTAAGTGTCACCTCCATGTACAGAGTAACTCGGCTTTGTCTGCCTATGAAGGGACACTACCAATTCTCATAATTGATAACCTAGATGAAGAGGGATGGACACTGTCTTAAGTCCTTTGATCATTTATTTAAACCAATAATATTCAGGCTATTGATTTTGCACTCTGGGTATTATCAGAATAATAAAGATGTTTACTACTTTAATATTAATATGCCATTTCATTTTATTTGCTGTGTGTATGTATGACTATCGTGTATGTGCATGCGGGTATGAACATACGTGTGGATACTTGTACCTGTGCATATGTATGCAGATCAGTGGAGGGCACTGGATGTATTCCTCTATCACTCCCCACTTTCTCTTTAATGCAAGGTCTCTCCCTGAACCTGGAGCTTGTGGGCTTTCTGTTCTGCTAGGCTGGAAGCCAGCAGTCTCCAGCATCTTTCCACCTCTGCTCTCTAGGTGCTGGGCTTAAGGCATGTGCTTGACCACACCTGGCTTGTTACTGGGGTGCTGGGATCTGAACACATGTCTTCAGGCTTGCTCAGCAAGTGTTCAGAACTGCTAAGACATCTCTCCATCACTGTTTCGATTTCTTCGGAGAAATACTAGAATATTATTTGAAGACCTATTATCAGAAAAATTACTTTTTAAAACTTTCTGTAACCATTTACCCACATCCCTGCAAGAGAGAAATACTGTAAATCCAGGCACTGGGAATCTTTCTGGGGAAAAAAATACTGATTTCAGGATGTTTATAAAGATCTGGTTTTGATCTTCCTCTTCCAGTAATTATGCACCAATTGCAGAGTTGTCATCTAAAAGGAATAATAATTAACTTGTGGTACCAATTTTAACAGTGGTCTAAAATTTACTGGAAAAATGGGTTGCATTCTGAGCACTGTAACCGTTGCTTGAAGCAACAAGTTTGCAATACTACCCAGTAGCTTATTTCCCTTAAAATGCTAAAAGTCTGACTTCAGGGCTGGAGAGATGGCTCAGAGGTTAAGAGCACTGACTGCTCTTCCAGAGGTCCTGAGTTCAATTCCCAGCAACCATATGGTGGCTCACAACCATCCGTTATGAGATCTGGTGCCCTCTTCTGGTGTGCAGATATACATGGAAGCAGAATGTTGTATTCATAATAAATAAATAAATAAATAAATAAATAAATAAATAAATAAAATCTTTAAAATAAAAAAGTATGACCTCATTATCACATAATATATATCCAATGGAATTCTAGAACAAGGGAATAAGGTTCAGGGTAAATATCTAATAAGACTACAAACTGAATGTAAGCACACAATGTAAAATGCAGGTTATTACTTCCATTATAACGTCAGTGCAGACGGTCTACCAATTCTACCTCAGGCCTGAATCACAAGCGAAATGAACACATAATGACAAAGATGCTTTATTCTTCCATTTTTCATAAGCAGGCTCCTGTCACTCTCTCACACAAAGTGTAATTATTCATTAAACATCAAAACCCCACTCTGACTCCCACACATCTGGGTTTCTCTTTATTCCCATGGGAAAAATGATTTCTCCTGCTTTTCCTCCATCTCTACCCAAAGAATCTATTTATAAGCTAATCATCTTTGCTTGATATTTTGTTCCCATAAAGAGATGAAGATTTTCTCCCGGCATCTTGTATCTTTTCTTACCTAGCTCATGGTCACTCTGACTTTCACATTCATTCAAAAAGAAACTTTGTCCAGCTTCACAGAGGCTCTGGATTTTCATAAGGTCAGACCACTCACCCCATCCTCCCTGGATCTTGCTGTCACCACACCATCTCCAGTATCCTTTGAAGAAATAGGGGTATTGCAAGGGTATTAAAGGTGGCGCACGCCTTTAATCCCAGCACTCGGGAGTCAGAGGCAGGTGCATCTCTGTGAATTCCAGACCAGCCTGGTCTACAGAGCAAGTTACAGGATGGCCTCCAAAGCAATACAGAGAAAACCTGTCTCGAAAAACCAAAAAAAAAAAAAGAAAAGAAAAAGAAAAAGAAGAAGAAGAGGGAAGAAAAAGAAAGAAAGAAAGGAGAAAAGAAAAGAAATAAGGGTATCTAGATGCATCCATTCCTGGGGACACATTGCCTTTGTGTGTTGGAATACCTCACTATTGTCTGTTGCCCTTCAAATAAATAAATAAATAAATAAATAAATAAATAAATAAATAAATAAATAAATAAATAAATAAATAAATAAATAAATAAATAAATAAATAAATAAATAAATAAATAAATAAATAAATAAATAAATAAAATCTTTAAAATAAAAAAGTATGACCTCATTATCACATAATATATATCCAATGGAATTCTAGAACAAGGGAATAAGGTTCAGGGTAAATATCTAATAAGACTACAAACTGAATGTAAGCACACAATGTAAAATGCAGGTTATTACTTCCATTATAACGTCAGTGCAGACGGTCTACCAATTCTACCTCAGGCCTGAATCACAAGCGAAATGAACACATAATGACAAAGATGCTTTATTCTTCCATTTTTCATAAGCAGGCTCCTGTCACTCTCTCACACAAAGTGTAATTATTCATTAAACATCAAAACCCCACTCTGACTCCCACACATCTGGGTTTCTCTTTATTCCCATGGGAAAAATGATTTCTCCTGCTTTTCCTCCATCTCTACCCAAAGAATCTATTTATAAGCTAATCATCTTTGCTTGATATTTTGTTCCCATAAAGAGATGAAGATTTTCTCCCGGCATCTTGTATCTTTTCTTACCTAGCTCATGGTCACTCTGACTTTCACATTCATTCAAAAAGAAACTTTGTCCAGCTTCACAGAGGCTCTGGATTTTCATAAGGTCAGACCACTCACCCCATCCTCCCTGGATCTTGCTGTCACCACACCATCTCCAGTATCCTTTGAAGAAATAGGGGTATTGCAAGGGTATTAAAGGTGGCGCACGCCTTTAATCCCAGCACTCGGGAGTCAGAGGCAGGTGCATCTCTGTGAATTCCAGACCAGCCTGGTCTACAGAGCAAGTTACAGGATGGCCTCCAAAGCAATACAGAGAAAACCTGTCTCGAAAAACCAAAAAAAAAAAAAGAAAAAAAGAAAAGAAAAAAAAAAAAAAAAAAAAAAAAAAAAAAAAAAAAGAAGAAGAAGAGGGAAGAAAAAGAAAGAAAGAAAGGAGAAAAGAAAAGAAATAAGGGTATCTAGATGCATCCATTCCTGGGGACACATTGCCTTTGTGTGTTGGAATACCTCACTATTGTCTGTTGCCCTTCTCATAGCTGGCTTCTGAGATGGGAATTGTCCCCAGGAATTTTTCTTTTCTTTCTTTCTCTGTCCCCTGAGAGATGATAGAAAGATAGACGTATGATGGTAGATAGGTAGATGACTGATAGATATTTGTAGACCTGGGAAGGTAGGACTGGAAAGATTTACATTTGATAAACCCTGTAATGTTTTATAGGATCACAGGCTGAGGAATGGCCTTAGTACAAATTTCCTGAGCAGACAGGTTGTATAAGTACTTTTCTGATGCTGTGATTAAAACACATGACCAAGGCAACTTGTAGAAGAAAGGGTTTGTTTGGGCTTATAGTTCCAGAGTGATATGGGTAGGCATGGCAGCAAGTAGAACGGATGGTACCAGAGCAGAAAGATGAAAGATCATATCCTTAACTGAAAGTACCACAAAGCAGAAAGAACTGGAGGTAGAGTGAGGCTTTGTACTTGCAAAGCCCATACCCCACTGACATACTTTCTCCAGCAAGGCTGCACTTCGCAAACTCCCTCAAACTGTGTCAGCACCTAGGGAACCAGGGCTCAAATGCCTGAGCTTATGGAGGACAGTCTGATTCAAATGTCAATACAAACAAAAATACTGGTGTCAGCGTCAGAGTAGATGGCTCTCTTCGAAGCACTAGCAAAAATACTCCTTATTCAGGAACTACTGCACAAAAGGAGGGAGAAGGAGTGTGGGAGTCTTAGTTGGGGGTCTGGTTTTTTGTTTGTTTGTTTGGTTGGTTTTTGTCGGTTTTTTGTTTTGTTTTTTGTTTTTGTTTTGCTGTGACGAGATACCACGACCATAGCATCTCTTATAAATGAAAACATTTAACTGAGGTGGCTGAATCACAGTTTCAGTGTTTCCGTCTATTATCATCAGGATGGAGAGCATGGCGGCCTGCAGGATGCTGAGAGTCCTGCATCTTGGCTCAGAAGCAACAAGAAGTTGACTGACTGTCACACTGAGTGAAGTTTGGGAAAAGAGACCTCAAAGCCCACCCCCACAGTGACACACTTCCTCCAAAAAGGCCACACCTCCTAATGTTGCCATTCCCTTTGGGAGAAGGGAGAGTGGTGGGTGGGGCGCTGACACCAGGAGAACAAGGGCCTCTCAATGAACTGAACAGAGCTAACATGAGCTCACAGAGACTGAAGTAGCAAGCACAGGACTTGCACTACGTGGATCTGCACCAGATCCTATGTGTATTTATTACAGCTCTCAGTTTAGGTTTTTATTTTTTTTTTCATTTTGTATTTTTTTATTTCATTTTACATTCCAACCACAGTTCTCCCTTTCACTCTCCCTAACCTCCCCCCTAGCCTACCCCCAGTCCATTCCTCCTCACAGGTAAAGGCTCTCATGAGGAGTCAACATAGTCTGGTACAATAGCTTGGGGCACGGCCCAGCCCCTCTGCCATGCATTAAGACTGAGCATGGCTTCCCAACACAGGGAATGGGCTCCAACAAGTTAGCTCATGTACCAGGTTTGTATCCTGGTCCTACTGCCAGGGTCCCTCTGATAGTCCAAGCTTTACAACTGTCTCCCACATATGGAGGGCCTAGTTTGGTCCCCTGGAGTCTCCACAGTTGCAGGTCTAGAGTTCATGAGTTTCCACAAGCTTGGTCCAGTAGTCTCTGTAGATATGCATTCACTCACAAGTGGATATTAGATGTAAAGCAAAGGATAATCAGATTTAAGTCCACAGCTCCATAGCAGATAGGTAACAAGGAGGACCCTACGAGGGACACAAGGGTCACCCTGGGAAGAGAAATTAGATGATTTCTACACAGCTAACTGGAGGCAGGAGGTGATAACAGAAGAGGGTGGTGGGGGTGAGAACAGAAAGGAATGGGATACCTAGGCAATGAGGGAGGCTGTGGA